AGGATTGTCATGAATTAGCTGTTATAGTATTCATAGTCTGATTATCATGTTTTCATAGAATTGTTACTTAGTTAATGCATGAAACTCAAAACCTTAGATGTGTAGACTTGTTTAGTTATAAATTACAGTTGTTAGGTCAAATTATTTAAATAATCGTGCCTCGTTTAAGAACGTTTCGGTTATCAGTATATTAATGTTGCATTTTAAGTTAACATGTCATTATTTTTAACTATTCACTGTTAAAGAACTTCAGTCATAAGGTGTTTTTGCATAATCAATTCGGAGTAGGCTTAATACAAGTAGACAAAGGGTGAGTCACCCTCATAGTCACAAAATTGTGTGCCCTCTAGGATAAATCCCTTCTGTGGGCATCACTTTTATTGATCACGTCAGTCATGTATTTATACCATTGGCAAGGTATATTTGTTCCTCTCGGTGGGGAGATACATTTGACTCCACGGATTACTCTAGTGGTTTTATGTCGGTTAATAGTAGCTCCCACAGTTAGATTCTAGTGTATTGACCAGATTATCAGTTATAATTCAGTATCAATTTCATCATATCATATACTTGGTCGTTGCATTCAGTTAGCTTAGTATTCAACATGTTTCAGTACATATATGATATTCAAATTATATCATTTCTGATATTGCTTAGCTCAATTATGTTTATGTTATTCAACTTTATTCTATCTTGCATAATCAATACCTTTCAAGTACTGAACCATACTCTACCCTACATCTTCTCGTGATGTAGGTTTAGATCCTCAGCACTCAGATCACAAATAAATCATTTTTTGATGTCCGGTGAGTAATCATTCTTCAAGGATGGTTCACATGTTATCTTTCTATTTTGAGTCGTTTCATTTCTATTTTGCAAGAATTAGTTACGGAATCTCCCAACAACTCTAGTCAGTTAGAGGCTTTTATTTTGACATAGTTAGATTTAGTTTTAGTTGTGTTTGTTCTTTTAGTTGTCAATAAACATAGTTTTATATATTCAGATTTAGAATGGGTAATACCCTTCATCTCCCCTTTATGTCATGTATTAACCTTCCGCACAAAATTATCTTATTTCAGTTACCTTTGTATGCTTGTGATATGCCACCAAGGTTAGCTTGGACCACTCGTGATCCTAGGTCCCGTGTTTACATCCTTGTGTAACTTAAGGGCGTGATAAAACTAGAAATTATATTTCAACAAAATAAATTTTATATATATATATATATATATATATATATATATATATATATATATATATATATATATATTAGTTGTATGAGTTTCTAAGGGTGATATCAATAGTTGAACTGAGGGATTTCTACGTTCAACACAAATAGTTGAGTAGTTTTTTAATTATAAAATAAAGTTAAGTGAATTTTTAAGTAAATTATTCTAAGTTGAGTGATTTTGTAAGTGGAGTATTAAAAGTTCAATGACTGAGATATAAAATCATCATTATAATCAACGTACTATTTTTCGTTACTATATTATATCATATAAATATATTATTAAACTTAGTGCCTATTTGGCCATTAGATTTGAAATCATGAAATAAATTATGAGATGTAGTTGAAGTTTAATTGGAAAATGCAATTTGGACATTTTATGTTGTGTTTTATACGAAACATAAAAATTTCATAAATTATAAAACTATTAAGATTATCTAATTCTTTTTACAGTCTTACCAAATATGAAAAAGTTTATAAAATTGCATAATATAGTATCACAAAGCTATTCGAAAAACTTACAAAATTTTATAAATTAAACTTTAATTCAATAAAAAATAAAATTAAAAATAAGTTATAGTGTCTGGTTTTTAATATAATCCTCCAACATACTACCAACAAGCATCTCATTATGAACTAGCATTTCGATTATGTAACTGAGAAGAGAAAAAAACATTGTTACTTTGAGTCATTTGGTTAGTAAGTTAAGTTGATCAAAACTGAATAATATATAGGGCATAGTAGGAATTGATATGAATTACTAATAAAATTTATGTTTGTGAGAATAATCTTTATATGAGATATAAATGGTTTAAAAGTAATGATATGAATTATAAATTTTAGTTTTATATGAAATAAATTGTTAATACTTATAAATACGGGATAGTTTTAATAAAATATATTTTTTTAGGTCAACCTTAAATCAGAAAAATCTCATATCATGATTTGAAATTCCCAAATTAGCATGAAATTACATGTCTAAGCGCTAATTTCATATCGTGATTCCAGACGCCTCATTACAGGGAAAGCCCCTTGAGAAAATATTGAAAGAAAAAAAACTTATTCAAGTTAAATGACTGTAATATCCTTTCTAAAATAAAAAAAAATTATTTACCCTTATGAACTTAATTAATTATTGATAGTAATAATGTTTAAAAAACATAACATATACTTTTTTTCATATGACACATTTATATTATAGGTAATTAACAAATATAATAGCACATTCATGGTATGAGTACAAAAGGAAAAGATCATCCATATCATTCATACAATACATTCATTGTATGAATACAAAGGGGAAAAAGGAACATTCATGATTATTCAATTTAGGTCTTCCATCTTCCAATTAATGTATAAATGAATTGTATTTTTTTGGGGTATGGGGTGGGTTGGTTATTTTTTATTCCTTTTGACAACTTAATATAAAATGTGTTTGTTACCTGAAAAGTTGAATAGAATTTTTGAGAATTTCAAATAAGTAATATTAAGGAGTTTTAAAAGGCTTCCAAAGTGCTTTTATTATTTCTAAGCTATATGCAAATCACTTGATTGATTTTTCAACCATAAGACTTTTACAACTAGTTTTTTTTTTTACATTTCATTGATATCTTTTTGTCCCTCTTGCCTCCATCTAATACCTTGTCATAAATTATTAATGGTAGATCAAATTGTAACAAAATCATGCATAGGTTCTGCTATCCTTTATTGAATTGGACTGCTAATTATTTCGTACACACGCCTTTATTCCTGCTGCCTCTTTTATTTTATTCAATTTCATAGATATGAACACCTGTTTCATATTATTTCATCATCAAAAGTATTTGTATGACCATGTCAATTCTCATCACAAGGTGTGTATGTTATCCTTTAGGCTGAAGGACTATTGGTATTATACAGATTTGCAATCAACTTTGGAGGTCACTGGGATTAGTTCTTACCGTTGTGTGAATTTTCATACAACAAATGCTATCACTCTAGCATCGACAGCACCATTTGAGGCACTTTATTGAAGAAGGTGTAGATCTTCTATAAGGTTATTTTAGACGGATGATGTGAAGGCCTTATTGGTTGACTTTGTAAAGGAAGCATACTTAATGAAACTTCACGGCAAGTGCGGAGCCAAGCTTTGATCACTATTGTGAAGCAATAGGAACTTGTAACTCCCAACTTAAAAACGACTAATTTTTTGTATTATGTTAGTGGATTTTAGGGAAGAGAAGAACCACAATAATTACATTTTTTATTATTTAAAAAAAATTTAGATCACTCTTAATAATTTAAAACAAAAATTATATTTAGACAAAATTAATTTTAAAAAATCATTTAAATAAGTTAGGTGACTTTCTAAGAGTGGTATCAATAGATGAGCTTGGTGACTTTCTATGTCAAAATACTAATAGTTGAGTGATTTTTGAGTTATAAACAAAGTTGAATGACTTCCTAAGTGAGCTACTAGAAGTTGGTATTTTTTTATTTATAAAACAAAGTTGAGTGACTTTTTAAGTGAATTATTCTAACTTGAGTGACTTTTATTTTATAAAACAAAGTTGAGTCACTTTCTAAGTGGACTATTGAAAGTTGAATGAAAATCTGAGATATAAACTCATCATTTTCATCAGTTAAATATTATATTATATTATATTATATTATATTATATTATATTATATAATATTATATTATATTATATTATATTGTATTGTATTGTATTGTATTGTATTGTATTGTATTGTATTGTTATGTATTGTGTTGTGTTGTGTGTTGTGTTGTGTTGTGTTGTGTTGTGTTGTGTTGTGTTGTGTTGTGTTGTGTTGTGTTGTGTTGTGTTGTGTTGTGTAGTGTTGTGTTGTGTTGTGTTGTGTTGTGTTGTATTGAGTTGTATTGTGTTGTATTGTGTTGTATTATTTTGTTGTATTGTGTTGTATTGTGTTGTATTGTGTTGTATTATGTTGTGTTATTGTGTTGTATTGTGTTGTATTGAGTTGTATTGTGTTGTATTGTGTTGTATTGTGTTGTATTGTGTTGTATTGTGTTGTATTATTGTGTTGTATTATTGTGTTGTATTATTGTGTTGTATTGTATTGTATTGTATTGTATTGTATTGTATTGTATTGTATTGTGTTGTATTGTGTTGTATTGTGTTGTATTGTGTTGTATTGTGTTGTATTGTGTTGTACTGTGTTTTATTGTGTTGTATTGTGTTGTATTGTATTGTATTGTATTGTATTGTATTGTATTGTATTGTATTGTATTATATTATATTATATTATATTATATTATAATATATACAACGCTGGCGGTAGTTCGCACGGCCATCCAGATCTAGCTTTAATCTAATACACGACCAAGACATACTAAAAACGTATTATAGTTTTGTTAATATCCTATCTTAGCATGGTCGTATGGTAATATTTTACCTAAGCATGGGGCCTATCATAAATTTTAGACATATTGATATTTAGCAGTTCTAACAGTGGTTTAAGACGACCCCTTTTTTTCTTCAATTTAACGGGGACTTACAGCACCAGTGCTCGCTAATACCAATAGTGTACAATCTGCCTGTACCTCCACCTTAGAACCAAGTCAAGATATATGATAAGAATCTAAGAACTATAATAAGAATTTATTCTATCTTGATGAGATCCAGATATTTTGCTAGAACATTGTACAAAAATCATGCAGCTGGCATAGATATGAAAGGTATCTAGCCGGACATAGTCACGACTATAATAATAATGGAGAAAATAAAATAATTAAAAGAAATTTAAATTACCTAAGAGAGTTTCCCAAAAATGTGGACTTTTATTTCTTTGCCGGAATATATTATAAGAGAGAGAGAGAGAGAGAGAGAGAGAGAGTTACTAAGGAAAGAAAGAAAAGATAAAATTCCTAAAGAGATCCTCCCTCTCATCTGAGGAGGAGTGCTTCTTATATAGGCAATTTTAAGAGACATAGAATAATAGTGGGTCTCTTATCTGGGCCCCTTACACACTATATCTACTATTTAGACAGTGTTTTCACTATTAAGGATAAGGAGGAATCTAGATTTTTCCTTTTGCCTTTATCCTTGCCAGGCTTTCTTGGTCCTTAATGGATAGCAAAAAATCTTGTACCTTGTCGAGCTCACTTTCAATCATAATTAGCTCTTATTCATCGGACTGTGCATCTGCAATATCGTTGCTAGTGCCACTCTTCATTGAAGTATCCAATTTATCAAATTCTGAGAGGTTTTGCAATAGATTTATTTTAACCTCTTCGAGATACTCGTTGATCATTTCGTCTTTATCACCCTCTTGGATGGAGATTCTGTTTGCAATGTGCTTGATAGAATTTTCAGTTAACAACTTCCTTTGGGGTATCTCCTTATAATTCTGGATTTTTGGTTGTATCTGATCTACAAGCTCTTTACCATGGGGTTGACCGGTCTTTGGGTCTTGCCTTGTTAGCTTGTCCCAAAAATTATAATAATAAATCTGGTATAAACAAGGAATTTTTTCTTCAGGAGTAAAACCTACTTCTGGGATCCATTTATGAATCCATGGAATGGAGAATCCTATAAAAAGAAAATACATCTGATCAACTTTTTCTACATTGCAGATATGTTCTGATAAATATAAATTCGTTAAAAAGGGGAAAAACTTGGACCATTCTTTATATAAATTTAAATAATTATTTGGTAAAATCTTTACTGAAGGTCCATGATATTTCCACCAGTTTGAGATAGTTTAGTCAAAGACTTTGCACAGACCATAATAAACCATGTGTGCTTATGTTTGTCATTATTGTAATAAAATATTTTACTAAAAGCATGGATATAATCCCAGTAGGTAAAATTAATAATTATTTTGTTAACATAAACCTGTTTTTCATGCATAGTGGAGATTCCCCACTCTTCAGCATATATGATCTGCTTGATAATAAATTTTGAGAAGTTATAAACTTCTTTTTCATTTTCTGAGGTAAAATGCTGGAACCCGGCACTTCCTGTATGAACAATAATAGCTTCATAATATGATCTCATTTTATAAGAGTCTCCGGGGAAATATAACATCTTTATAAAATGCCGTATGAATATTTTCCAAGGTTCATTGCTTCTTTGATTATAAGAGTTTTACAAAAGAAATATAATATCCTTGGTGGTTGCCTCTTTAGAGAATTTTTGGGTATCACCTTCTTTCATTAAAGAAGCATAGGTATCACCTTGCTCTTTTGTCTGCAGATATGCTTTAAGTTTTCCATATAATGGACTATCTGCTGGAATATCTTCCAAGTTAATGGTCGGTGTCGAAGATGAAGCTTCATCAATTTTTGAATTGACTAGCCTCATGTTTCCCAATTGTATTATTGGAGATGAAGTGTATGACGACCTCTGAGAGGATTGAGAGGGTGATCTTCCTCTTCCTCGATTGTTCTTTCCCCCTCTGCCACGTACTTGCAACCAAGGAGGAGAGTCATTACCTCCCATGTTGTGATCATTAGAAAAATGATTAGTAATAGTAAAAATAATAGTTCATATCATTTAGTTCAATTGATCCAATATAATTTTCTGGATCTAAATGATAAGGACCATCATCATCTTCATAGCTATGTATAGAAAAATGAATTTCGTTTTGTATGATTGACATTATCACTTCTCAAAGAAATATTTCTTGAATATCCCTTCCTAAATGGATTGCCTTTAGTATGAAATTACTTTCCTGTCATCAAAGAAATTTTTAAAATAGGACATAAAAACTTTGTCTAAGAATTCAGGTATTCCCTGGACAAAAAGTCTGGAAGAGAATTATCAATTCCCTTTTTATACTGTATTTCAAAATCAAAAAGAGCTAGTTGGGCTTGCCACCTAGCAAACATCATTTTTGATGCATCATGTTTAAAATCTACTGGGGCATTTTTTAAAATTAAATGGAATAACATTCCATCCATACTGCCCAAAAAGAACATTAAAAGCAGTTCTATAAGTATGTTCCTTAAAAACTTGAATTTGTCAATATCATGATTTTAAGTCAAAATTTAAAAATATATTGGCATCATATAATCTTGATAAAAGATCATTTTTATTCGGAATAGGATATCTAATCAATTTTAAATTTTTGTTTAAAGGTTTATAGTTGATGACCAACCTGGGGACACCACGTTCTTGTTCTGCAACTTTATTAACATCAAAGGCAGTGAAAGAACAAGGAGATTTTGAAGGTTTTATCAAACCTTGTTGTAATTGATTATCAATTTCTTCTTTGCAAAATTCCACTAATTCTGCATTCATTTGGCAGGGACGTGATTTAGTGGGAATATCACTTTCGCAGAAATCATCCTCGTATGGCAAAGTTACAATGTGCTTTTTTCTGTTCCAAAAAACACTTGGGTGGTCTGCGCAAATATCAACAACCATTTGTCCAACAATTAATTTAATTTTTTCTTGTTCTTTAGCCGGACGAAGTGTATCTACAATATTCATACTATAAATTTCCATTTGCAAAGAATCAATGTGTCTTTGTTTAAGATGAATCAAGGTATTGATATCTCTAGTTAATGGTTCACTTATAAAATCAAAACTAATGGTATTACCATAAAAAGTAGTTATAAATCCTTTTGAATCTAGATAGGAAAAAGGATAAATAGCTTTTATAAAAAGGGTTCCAAGTATAATTGGAGGGTGCAACTGATTTCTTACTGAAAACAAAAAGTGAGAAATGCAAACCCTACTTTGGCAAATTAGATTGTTTATAATTTATATCTAAAGCATGATTGGAAGCTGATTTAACAATATACGTTGTTTTTTCAAAAAACCTTGAAGGTATTAATCCTTCTTGAATACAACTAACATCTGTTCCACTATCAATCATAGCAGTGCTAGTGATTTTAAAATCATTATTGATTAAGATGGCACATTTAATATACCAACAATGGGAAGTAACAATTTGCATCATTCCAAGGAAACTATTGGGTTTTGAATTGTTAAGATGAAGAGACTCTTTATCTCTATCTTCACCAATTTCCTGTCCTTTATCGGTAAGTTGTGTTGGGGGAGAACCATTATTCTCACTGCTCTCTAGTTGAGAAATCTTGTGATCATGAATTATTTGGTTCTGTTTAAGAGATTTAATCTCTTTTTTAAAATTTTCGACTTCAAATTTTAAATCATCAAGAGAAGTATTTCTGGTTTTGACATCTTGATCATTTTTCTCAATACGAGTAAAAATTTCTTGTAAAGAATAGGGGTTTTATTTAGAATCTATAAGTTCATTCTAACAAGGTTTTTCAAAAGTCTTGGAAGAAGAGGTTTTAGAAGAAGCCATTTCTAAAATGTTGTTCCTTATTTTAATAAATTAATTACATTATCAAAAGAGATCATATAAAAATTTAAATCCTAAAACTTGGATTGGAGCTTATAAAAAAATTCATCTTGTTCACTCGTACAAGTATTACCTGTACATTTAGCACACTGATTAGAACGATCAGAATTGTTATTATCACTACTGTCATTTGAACTAGACTCGTAATGATCAGATTCAGATTCAGATTCGTATAATATCTCATAAATTTTGTCATGAGTGGCTTCATCCAGCTCTAAAGTTTTAACTTTTTCCAACTTCAATTTGGAGCAATATGTCCATACTTTCCACATTTCCTACACTTGATATCCTTCAGTTCTCTTTTAGAGAAGTTTTTGGCAAATCTGGTTTCCTAGCGGTGAGCTATTTTAGCTTCATGTTTTTCTTTGTATCGCTTTGAACGATGATGTCATTTGTGGGATTTCTTTGGATCATTCTCATCATAAGATTTCTTTTTTCTATTATCACGAGAAGGTCCGTCGATGCCAACTTGCGTGCAAAAATCTCCGAATTGGGATTTTTCTGACATCTGGTTCCTTTTGCCCTGTTGAGAAGGTTTTAGCTCATTGCACAAATTTAATCCTTCTTGTGTGAAAGTGCCTATCAATTTTCCATAAGTGTAGTTATCGTAGGTAATCTCACTGAGATCTCCTCTTAGGTTCTTCTTCACCCTTTTAACAAACAATGGAGGGAGTCCATCAATGAATCTTGCCTTCCAATAACTTATTTTACGTTTGGGTAAATCCATAACTCTACTTAGGAAAGTATCCTTATACCATCTAAATTCTCCTAAATTTCTACACTTAAGACCATTTAGAAGGGTACGAATAGTTTCATTGTGGTTGGAAAATCTTCAATTTAAATGTTCTAGAATTGTGAGAATAAAGGTATAAACCGCATTTTCAATATTTTCTTAGTCACCTTTTCTGTTGGTTTTCCATCTTCACCAACTACTATTTCTCTTTTTTTTTCTCGTTGGAGGCATTTGTAATAGCATACTTCTCTTCAGGAGATAGCAAATTATCCCACCATCCGTGAAAATGTCCTGTAAATCCTACAATAATCATCTTACAGCTAGCATGATCAGAATTATTATTAGTATGCCTGCAAATAGTCAAATACATCAACATCCGATGTACCATAATTGAAACCTGTCTTTCTGTTTGGCCATCTAAGTTTCATTCATAGATCTCATTTCCACTAACTGAAGTGTTAGTCTGATTCCAATCTCTTTCTTCTATCAAAAAATCTTGAGGAGTTGGACGGTGGTAATAGTAAGTCATCATGGATGGAATAGTAGAATAGACACTTTTGCCAACAACCTTTTGTTGGTTACAATATCCGGATTTAAATCGTCTCAAATTAATCTCAGAGGTTTCTAAATTAATATTTTAAGAAAATTGTCCTTCAATTTTATAAATATCTGAAAAATCATTTGAAAGGCCAAGAGGTTTGGTACTTAAACCAGAAAGATTTTTATCAATAAGACTTTCTAAATCATTAAAAGATTTTATTTTAAAATTAATAGTATCAATAGGACGTTGAATATCTGTTGGAACATTTTTGGGTGTTTTGGAAGTAGTAGCAATATTTTCTTGTGAATTTTTATGAACACCCTTTACCAAAACTATTAATTCATCCTATTTTTTATCAAGAGAACTAATATGTTCTCCTAACACTTTAGCATATAACCTCAAATAATTATTTTGAGAAATCAAATTATTAGTTTCATTAATAATAATCTGGGCAACATCACTTTGAATAAATTTCTGGAAAGCCAAAAAAGTTAACCCAGTATTATTAGGTAATAAAAATGGAGCTTGGGGAAGATAGATGACTTTAGTAATAGATCCATCACTCTCCTTAAAAGTCCTTTCAATTACCTTGATATACAATGAACCAAGGGACAAAGTAAATAATTTTATTATGTAAAGCACAAGTTTCATAATATATTATTTAAATCATATTGGCTATATGCCTCAAAAAACCAAGTTCTAAACTTGTTCCATTTTTCATATTGAAATTCTTTTTTAATATGTTTTCTTTCCAGGGAGCCTGGACTAAAATAAATTTGGTGAATCGTCATTAATCACACTTCATTGAGGTCTGATGCTTTATTAACGTCAAAATCCATCTCAGATAGAGTTTGTTCAAAATTGAACAACTTATATGTTGCCTGATCAATATTAGTCTTGGAATCAATTTTTACCCTTTCAA